AGAAAAGATTGAGCCCTAGCTGGTTTGGTTCAGTGGATGAGTGTTGGCCTGCAGACTGAAAGGTCCTGGTTTGATTCCGGTCAAGGGCACATGCTGACTTGATCCCAAGTAGGGGGCGTGCAGGAGGCAGCTGAACAATGATTCTCTCTCATCATTGATGTTCTCTTTCCCTTTCCTTCTCTCAAATCAATAAAAAATATATATATACTTAAAAATAAAATAAAATACAGATTGAAACAGAAGGTCACAAGTAAGGTTCAAAGTCCTTAGCATGCCCAGTATGGCCCTCCGTAGCTGGTCCCTGCTGACAACTCAGCCTCAACAGTCACCCACGTCCCTTTGAACTCTTGTCCCCACTCTTCGGAATGACTTGCCGTGTCCTGAATAACTCCACAATTCTCTTACCTCCAAGTCTGTGTACAAACTGCTCCAGGGCCGGAATGCCTCCTCTCCCTGACATCCCCAACATCCCCTAGCTCCTGCCTGTCCTCCAATTCTCAATTCCAATGCCACTGCCACCAGGAAGCCTCCCTGGTGTTCTGCTCCCTGCAATGTGTTCTCATAGCGCCCTCAGCAACTCCACCACTGCCGTTTTCATAAGACCATCTGCTTGTCCTTCTCCCCTTAGACGATGAGTTCTTCAAGGACAGGGACCCTGTCCTGTTTTTCCTTGGGTCCCCACACCTAGCCTAGTGCCTGGCAAGAATACACCCCAATAAGTGTTTGACAATCAAATAAATGACAGGCTGGCTTAAGGCACGGTAGGGGGATAGAAGGAGCATTAAAGAAAAGTAAATGAAAAAGTAAGGGAGACAAAGAACAGATGGAAAAAGCTGGAAAGAGAAACGAGGGGAGGGAAAGAAGGAAAGAGAGATGAAGAGGTATGTCTGATGGCGAGAAGTGGAGCTCCCTCGCCTTCCTCAATTATCACTAAGAGACATTCTGCCAGGGTGTCCTATCTTCTAAAGCAGGGGTCCTCAAACTTTTTAAACAGGGGGCCAGTTCACTGTCCCTCAGACCGTTGGAGGGCCGGACTATAGTTTAAAAAAAAAACTATGAACAAATTCCTATGCACACTGCACATATCTTATTTTGAAGTAAAAAAACAAAACAGGAACAAATACAATATTTGTATTTGCATGTGGCCCGTGGGCCGTAGTTTGAGGACCCCTGTTCTAAAGTATTGGTCAGTCTCCATTTTCCAGTTAAAATTTTGTACTTTCTTTCTTATCTACCTCCTTTCCACACTCTCATCCCTCACTTCTTTTTTCTCTTTGGTCATTCCCCAAATCAGTTACATCAAACATTATTCATTTATTCAACTAATTTCTTACGGAACACTGTGTGCAAGGTTTAGAACTAGGGACAACGGTGGATAAGCAGAAAACTGAACAAGTCCGTGTCCCTAAGAACTCTATAAACTAACAGTGGTGGTAAAGCCTGTGATACAACATGACAAGTGCTTTAGGAGCGCTGGCACTCAGTGTTAATGGGTTCCAGGAGAGAGAGTCCAAGAAGGCTTCATGGAGGAGGTGGTATCTGAGTTGTCTTGAAGAATAGCTAGCATTCTAATAGGTAGAATCAAGTGGAGTCCCCTTTAGACCAAACAGAAGTTTTTAAAATGGAGAAAAGGGCCAACAATTCTTCTCTAATATAGCAGTTCTTACATTTTAATATACAAGAGCGTTACCTGGGGACCTATTTAAAATGCAAGCTCTCATATCCCAGAGATATTCTGGGAAGGGCCCTGAAGTATGCATTTAAAGTAAGTTGCGGCAGGTAATTCTCAGGCTGGTCAGCTTTGGAACAGACTTTGAGCGACAACGCTTATTGGATAACTGAGTCATGGGGATTCTGGGGTTTTCCCAATGTGTCCTTGGTTACAGGAATCAGACTGCGATTTGCTATGGGCAGGAGAGAAGTTGGGGACTTAGTCCCCAGTGTTCGCCCCTGGGATCTTCAGCTTCCCGCCCGTTGGTGTGGTCAGGGTCAGGGTGGGTGGCGCCTCTCGGCACCACAGTGTAAATAAGAAGTAAAAAGAAAAGCCCAGATAAGCAAATGGACTCTGGTCCCAACAGCGCTCTGTAGCAATGCCAGGGTCAAGTTCAGAGGAGGCTGGCCCTTCTCTCTTCCTTCAGCTTCAGTTTCCAAATCTCTCTTTCATTCGAGCACATTCTGTGCATTAAGGAGACGCAGTCAATTCCACTTTGGCTCTGAGCTAAAATGCAAGTGCTATATCCAAAGGGTGGAAATTTCCCCACTGCTCCTCCGCCCACGAGAAAGCAGCACTAGCAATTTTAATAATGGGACGTTTCTCCAATATTGGTTTTATGATACTTAAAAAGGAAAACATTGCTACCTAGGAGACTCTCCCTTTTTTTCTCCCTTAACATTTCCCTTGTAAAAAATTCATTTTGAGCCTTTGATGTCCTTTTGCTTTTTAATTTTATTTTTTTTTTTGCAAATTAACTTTTACTTAGACATGAATTCTCTGAATCTGTTCTCTCGTGAAAGATGAAAACACGAAGTTTCAGGCCAGCTGGCTGGCACTGAGCACTGATTTGGGGCCAGGAGAAGTCTGAGTGCAGGTTATCTCATTGGTCCTCACAAGAACCGTACAGGGCAGATATGATGACTAAACCTGTTTTATGGAAGGGGCGATTGTTTCCATAAGAAGGGCCAGTCAGCTATGTCCAATGTCACTAAGGAGGATGGACAAGTCCAACCCGCGTGGCTCAGAGGATGAGCTATGAACCGGGAGGTTGAGGTTCGATTCCCTGTCAGGGCACATGCCCGGGTTGTGGGCTCATCCCCAGTGTGGGACGCACAGGAGGCGGCTGATCGGTGATTCTCTCTCATCATTGATGTTTCTATACATCCGTCTCCCTCTCCCTTCCTCCCTCTCCCTTCCTTCCTCTCTTAAAAAAAATCAATAAAAATATATTTTTAAAGAAAATAGGATGGACAAAATGAGGACAGAATCAACCACTGAACCTGGAGAGACAGCGCTTGTTGGTGATACTGACGAAAACGGTCTCAATAGCATGGTGGGGTGAGAGAGATTAGAGGAGATGGAAGGAGGAATCGGAGGAAAAGAGAGAATGGGAAGTGAGGAAGGGCAGGCAGCAGGCACAGGCAGGTCTTTGTGGAGTTTTGCTATGACACAGAGCAGAGCAGAGGGAAGAGTGAGATTTTGAGAGCCAGGGAAGGGAGTTTAAATATGAGACCTACCAGGGCAGGCTGTGAAGGCTGAAAGGAACGATCTAGCAGAGTGGAAACTTTAGGATACAGGAGAGAGGTGGGTGCCGGAAGCCAGTCCATCCTTGCTGCTTGACACAGTCACTGCAGGGAAGAAACATCTGCACAGCATATGTTTCAAGGGACCTGGCGTATATGGCATACTGTTCTTAATATGTTTGCTCCCCTTCTTGGCGCTATGTGTTTTAACCAAGGTCACCTCTCCAAGAAAGGTTGTTTCCCCAGGTAGGGATTTTTCCCTGAAGTTAGGGAGGGAATAAAACCCCTTAACTAAGTGCCAGGCGGGTAGTTAATCACTTTAACTACGAACAATCACGCTTAAGCTACATAATCTTTACTCCCTGGAATGGAGATAAGAAACGCCCTAACCTTTGGAATAGAAATTGATAGGATTAAAATCAACTGGTATAAATACAGATGTAACAAGACAATAAAACACAGAACTTGGCTGGAGATCCTGGACTGAACTTGGCTAGAGATCCTGGCTAGGCTGCTGATCAACTGAACGCTGTCTCCGTGTCATTTCTTCTTCACCGACTACGTCCACACCTTTGGGGACCCCTGGACCTGCTGGGTTGGACCCCAACAGGTGGGAACTGGGGAGCAAAGTTCTTGCCGTTCACCCCTTTTCAGAGGCCTGCAGCCACACATGTGGGAATAGATATGGGCCAGTGGGAGGCGGAGGCGGTGGGAAGATGCAATCTTTCTATATTCCAGGCTTCTGTTCTCTCAGTAAAAGGGGTGGGGTCAGCACCCGAGGGGGTTTGTTTTGATTAGAAGGTGTGAACGTGAACTTTTGGACTTTGGGGGGGTCATATCACTTTAAGAAGCATTGCAGACGGTGCTAGGATCCCACTCAGATTTGTGATTGTAACTTTAACAGTCTACTCAGTCTGGTCGCATGATTTTTTTTTTGTTTTTTGTTTTTTTGTGTTTTTGTTTTTAGAGGAAGGGAGAGGGAGAGAGAGAGAGGAACATCAATGATGAGAGAGAATCATTGATTGGCTTCCTCCTGCAGGCCCTATACTGGGGATCGAGCCCATAGCCTGGGCATGGAGATGGATGGTGGCGATGGTAGCAAAACAAAGGGAATGTACTTAATGCCCCCAAATGGTACACCTGAAATGGTTAAAATGGTGACTATGTATATGCTACCATGATATAATTTTTAAAAAATATTGACTATTAACAAATATTGATACCTGACCTCATCTCAGATCAATTAGAACCTCTGGTAGTGGGGCCTCCACATGAGTATTTTAATAGACTATGTAATTGCTGAATTAGCACATTTCCTTTCATTCATTCATTCATTCATTCATTCAACAAGCACACACTGCATGTGCATTGTGAGCTAGGCACTAGAGGTGACTGTTAACTTCAAAGGTCAAGGTTCCGCTCTCACAGAGCTTTCCATCCTGTGGGGAAAGGTGGACAACAACCTGCAAACACATACATATTTAACCACAATTTCAGAAGCCGGTCTCAACCGCCTCAGGGAGCTTGGACCAGGATGGCGTGTTGGAGGCGGACGGGGGGTGGGGGGACTGGGAGGAGGGACAGACCTGAGATCTTTACTGCAGGGGGAAAGCACAGGCCACAGCGATTGGCAGCGGTTGGAAGTGAGCGATGAGCGCGCAGCGAGAGAGAAACAGAGGATGAGGACGGAGGCCCCTCCCAAGGGGCGCAGGAGAGATGGCTCCAGCGGTGGCCTTCCTGCTAAGTGCCTGTGTGATCTCTGACGTGTGAGAGCCCCCGTTTCTGACTTGATTTCTTCACCTGGAAAAACGGGGATCATAATACATCCCAAAACAGAGTCGTAAAAATCAAAAAGTAAGTTACTAGTAAAAATGTTGCAAAATGTTTCTTAATCAGAACCTTTTAGACAGTCACATCTCCGTTTTCTCTTTCTTCATCTGAGCAATCCATGTGGATCCATTTGCATGGTGTTAAACACAAATGCAGCTGTATCTTTTCGATGCACCCTGATCCCCAACCGTCCAGCGATCTCAATGCAGTTTATAGATTATCACCATTATTTTCCTCCTAAAGTCTTAAGGCCCCTGTAGAGAGGGAGCATCCCACGGCCATCCCACAGCCAAGCAGGACGGACCCCTGGTAGACAGATGTCTCATCCCAACTCAGGACAGTCACTGCCAAGGCCAGGAGGTCGGGCACATCCAAACCCATTCAGTGGTTTCCTGTTTTACATACATGAAAGCGCACTCCACGGTTTTCATTAGCAAGTGGAATAACTTCAATTTGCTCATGTTGTCAACCCTACATGTCGTTGTCAACCACAGGGCAGTTAGCGAGGGAAAGAATCAAGAGGCTTCAGAGGGTGGGGTGGGAACCGGGTGAAGGGGAGCTATGGGGGGGAAAAGAGGAATAACTGTAATAATCTGAACAATAAAGATTTTTTTTAAAAAAAGTATCAAGAGGCTTCTGCTGAGACAGAAGTCCATTTCTAGGGCGATGCCTGCACAGGCCGGAAAACTGGGCAATTCCCTGGGCTTGCCAGTAGAGGTCACTCTAGACGAGCAAGCTCTTCCCCGGGAGGTTGGAGAACTAACTGGAAAGGAATGCTTGGCTTTTGGCTCCCAAAAAAAAAAATTCAACCTGGCTGCCTGGACTCTCCTTGAGTGCCAGGAAACGTTGGTTGCTAGTTCCCAGCCATGGAGCGTGGAGGAAATATCCAGTTGGATCCCATACAATGAAACCCCACTTCCCTGGAACTGAAACAGAAATCAGGACCAAACACGGCAGCCTTCCCCTCTCACTCTCCCTAACCCCTAAATCTTTAACCACAAGTTTCAATTCTTTGCGGTTACCAAAGAACAGAAGTAATACTTTCCGATTTATCTCATAAACCCCAGAAGTTGCGTTTTCCTTGCCTTCTTCCCTGAAACACGTCTCCCACCTCTGCTAGGCTGTTATTTGGGTTTTATGGCCCAAGAGCATAGGGTTATGGAGTTCATTCTCTCTTCGCTTCTCAAACTTTTTCCAGGTTTAGATAGTTCAGCTGCAAGGTATCTGGTGTCCTCCCCTCTGGCAAAGATCCTCGGTGTCTGAACATTCCGTCTCAGGAGCCTAAGTGAAATAAAGCCTGCAGTGTGTTTAAGTCGGAGCCTGGCCCTCCGCTCTTAAAAATGTTCGCTGTCATTATTATTACTGTTATTATGGCGTCTGGATCATGACACTAAGAAAATTGTCAGTCCAGGACCCAGAGGAACATGACTGGTTGCAGGGATGCGATGCTACCCCCAGGCCTCTCCCCAGGTGGCCGGACAACCTCAACCAGACTGTTACTGGGAACAACCCCTCCCCTGAGCAGTTTGACCACAGGAGGAGGTGAGGTAGCATGGCATCGAGAAACCCTATAATTTTGGTGTTAATAGAAGCCGTTTACGGGCTTCGTTTTATATGACCATATAGCTAAGAATTTTCATTGGCAACTAGAATAGTGTCAGTTGTATGACTCCTTTAACTCTTCTATTACCAGCAATACAGTTCGGAAGAACTAACTTGTACTGGGTACGGGCTATGTCTCAGGGCCCCGTGCTGGACACTTGGGCACAATTCATCTCATCTCACCGAGCTTCGGAGTCCTCAGCCCTGTGTGGTAAGGTGTTGCGAGGAATGCTTGATAATGGACATTTTCTGCTTTCTTTCGGCTCATTTAAGAATAGTTTTCGGATTGCTTATCAATCAAGTCTAATGCTTTCTACTTTCCCAATTCCCTCTGCGTATCCTTCTTTCTTGTTTCTGTCTAGCTGAGTGTTTTAGGAGACGTCACCCAGTTTCAGATACCTCCCTTCTTCTGCTCTGAGCTCCAAAGAAAGCAAGCAAGTGGCTTCGAAGCCGTGCCGGCTGCCTTTCTGGGGCTAGGAATCAACTTTGGCTCTGCTCTACCGTTTCCCAAATTCTCGTGAGCGTCTGGGCTTTAGGAAAAGTAAGTTTCTACAAGCATCACCTGGAGCGAAGATCAATGTAAATAACAGAACGGCCCAGAGGCCAGGGGGGAGCACCATTACTCACTCAGCTGACATTTAGGAACGGGAGGGGGGACGGGCTCTCGCTTTCCAGGGCCGCTCCCACAGGCGGGCTGGAGAGGAATCGGTCGGTCGGGCGAGCAGCTCCAGAGGCCTGTGGGATCCAAGGGGCATGAGACACAGAGAAAGGGACGCCGTCGGGTCCTCTCTGATGTTCTGCACGGGGCAGGTCCCTGAGCAGCCGGGCCAGGTCAGGAGGGACACACACCTGAGTCACAGGCGTACGGAGGGTCAGAATGGAATGCAGATGGAAGATGAAAGAACTCGAAGGGCTTTCCTTTAGTGTTAAAGGGCCCATGTCCTCAAGCACATGGAAGACGCTCACCCCTATTTTCCTTAATTACAGGCTACCAGACGAGCCCCAGCTGAGTGAATTCGGGTTTGATTCGAGTGGAAACTTTTGGACGTAGAACTAAGTACTGGAATGTGTGTCCAAGGTCGGGGTGATTAAATGCTCGTTTGTCTGACAGAAGACTGGAGGCCAGAGAGCTGTCTTAGCGCTATATATACACACAGGCGCCCTATTAACGGTATAGCAACAACATACCCTGTTTATCCAGTAGACAGGTGCGTCTTAGGACTTGAGCAGGTTTAAATTTACCAAGTCGATCCTGGATAAATATAAGATCTGTGCGTTTTACAGAACAGAAACTGGACTCCGGCGGGCGGGCCGGGGGCAGAATGCGGGAAGGAACCTTGGCTCATCTCACATGGCCCTGAGCCCTGTCTCTCCAACCTGTCCTGGGACCCTGCGGCAGCTGAGGGCCAAGCTATGTGGCCCAAGTCCCCGGGGAATGTGGGCAATGTGGGCTTGGCAAGTGGGAATGTCGGGAATGAGTCCACAGTCCAGGGTTCAGATCTCACGGTTGGGCTGCGCCCTGCCCTGACATCCTCCCTTAAAGATGAGAGCTCCGCGCTCCGGGAGCTCTGAATCCTGCCCCTGAATCATATTGCTTTTCTGAGCCCATGTGTGTGTCTTATTATAGCGGGAAAGACTGCACCCAGTCTGGCTCAGGCTGCAAGGCACTAAATACGCTATTAAAACACTCCCTAAACTTGGGGTCCAACAAGACCACACATGCAGTTGTCTTTATTATCAAACTAGTGGCTCAGTGCACGAAATTCGTGCAGGGGGGGTGTGTCTCTCAGCCCAGCCTGCACCCTCTCCAATCTGGGACATCCCTCTCACAATCCAGGACCACTGGCTACTAACTGCTCACCTGCCTATCTGCCTGATCGCCCCTAACCGCTCTGCCTGCTGGCCTGATAGCCCCCAACTGCCCCCCCCCGCCAGTCATCTTGTGGCGGCCATCTTGTGCCCACATGGGGGCACCCATCTTTAACCACCTCTGCCTCTGCCATACCACCATGGCTTTGTCCAGAAGGACGTCCTGAAGGTCTCCCAGTCTAATTAGCATATTACCCTTTTATTAGTATAGATTGCTGTGCTTGCCATCCCATCTCGGTGTCCTTCAAGACTAATTTCCCTCAGGCCCAGCTGGCATGGCTCCGTGGTTGAGTGTTGACCCATAAACCAGGAGGTCACGATTCGATTCCTGGTCAGGGCATATGCCTGGGTTGCAGGCTCGATCTCCAGTAGGGGGCGTGCAGGAGGCAGCCAATCAATGATTCTCTCTCATCATTGATGTTTCTATCTCTCTCTCCCTCTCCCTTCCTCGCTGAAATCAACAAAATATATTTTAAAAACCTCACAAAACTAATTTCCCTCAGAAGTAGTTTTCAATTACGATCATTTCTGGGAGGATGCTCAGGAAACTCATATATTAGTTGCCTCCGGGAAAGGGAACGAGGAGGTTGCGACAGGGGTGGAGGGAAACCTGATTTTCACTGTATACCTCTCTGTTTCTTTTAAATTGTTTATGCATGTATATTACCTATTCCAAAATAAATCTGATCATTTTTTAAGCATGAGGTTTATAAAACTCTGTGTGGAATTTAACTTAGTTCCTTTTCTTCCAAATTACCGCCCCCCCTTTTTATTCAGGTCTCCAGTTCCTTAATAATCACAATGACCGAGTGTACCTTTTACTGACCACTTCCTATGCACCAGGCACTGTGCTCAGCATCTTCTGTTCAGTATCTCAGTGAACAAGCCAGTGAGAAGGTTCTTCTGTTATCCACACAGAGAAACTGAGGCTTAGAGAGAGGTCCCATGCCCAGTAAGCGTCAGATCTGGAACTCAAACGTGGGTTTATCTGACCGGGCCCCTCTCGTAACCCCCACGGCCTACTGCCTCAGTAGCTGCAAGAACACTGAAGTGTTAACTGCTTATTAGGAACTTTCTCACAAATTCCTTTGTCGGCCAAACGCTTAAAACCTTAAAAGGCACAAAAGTGATGAAACAAAATCAAGGAAGCACGTTCTTTGCCTGATAGCAAAGCTGGGTTCTCAGTACCCCCGCCTCTTCATGCTGGGGGTACGGATTACTCTGCAGAATGACGGACTAGCCGGCTCATCAAAGTGTGAGGCCTCTGGTTGCCCCCCACCAAATCCCCCAGCAAGGACCCTCTCAGTGGGACGCGTCTTAAGCAGCATTCAAATGGAAAAGGGTTTGAGATACCACCAGTAAGTACACCAGCCCTATTTCTGGCTTAAGCGGGAGCTCTTGGGATCAGAGCAAAGCTGTGAGAATCTCAGAGGCCCCACGGAGGGACCAGCCCCTGCATTGCTGCTAGTTTCTATGGACACAAGAAGAAAGGAAGGGCTGCAATGAAAAATAACTGAGCAGCCAGCAACTCGAGACAAGGCTGCAGGAGGCCAGGTGGAATAACAGCTGATAACACACTACGCGCTCTCATGAAGCCCTTGTCACCCAAAGATAGAAAAGGGGTTTCATAAACAGCCATCAACGATTCCAGCTTTTGGGGGTGAAAATCAAGGCAGGAATCTGGTAGTTGTTCTTAAATAAAATTGCCTTTTAAAAAATATATATATATTTTTTATTGATTTCAGAGAAGAAGGGAGAGAGAGATAGAGATAGAAACATCAACGATGAGAGAGAATCATTGATCGGCTGCCTCCTGCAAACCCCACGCTGGGGATCGAGCCCGCAACCCAGGCACGTGCCCTGACTGGGAATGGAACCATGACCTCCTGGTTCATAGGTTGATGCTCAACCCCTGAGCCCCCCTGGCCAGGCTTTTTTTTTTTTTTTTTTCAATATAAAAATTGCCTTCCTTCATGTAACTTATTCACAGTTAGGAGGATTTAGAATATAGTTCATACTGTATTTTCTCTTGTGTAAAGTTTTCTTCTTCTTTTTCTCTCAAGAGGTCAATTTGGTCTTAACGACTTTTTCTGTTTTTAAATCTGTGGCCTACAGAGTGACAATAGCCTGGAATAGCCTGGGCAAGGATAAGAAACCAGAGCTACATACTGTACCTTCACGTTAAGCTCGGCCTTTCCCTTCTAGTCTAGAAGCTGGAAGGGCACGTCCCAATCGGCTGGGGTCTTGAGGGTGTG